GATATTTTTGCGAATTTTTATGTTTTCGAGTACCTAAATTACGAATATATTCATGAAAATGCTGAATGTGCTCTTTTTTTTATGATTTTTACGTATCTTATATTTTGAACAATTATCAGCTTGTTAGTATTAAAATTTGTTTTCCCAGTCCTGATTAAGCTTCTGCGCAACTTTTTTGCGCATACAAACATCACTAGATCTCCACTCTCAGTATCTTTGCTCCGCAAAACAGCTGATAACTCAGTTATTTGATAATATTGAAGTACTTACACGTGAATCTGGATAAGTTGTCATATGTTAATATTTTGATTCAATTGCTGAGTGTTCATTCTAATATATTTGTCTTGTCTTTTTAAACATGAGTTCGTCACGAATAAAGTGTAAATATAGTAGTGATTTATTTTGTTGTATTTGTGGTATTTATATATTAAAAAAACAAAAACGACATATCACAGACTTTGTTAAGGAGACTTACGCTGAATATTTCGGTTTTAAACTGGACAAATTAGATAAATCATGGGTTCTGAATAAAGTTTGTAAGTCCTGTGTTGAGTCTTTGCGGTTGTGGGAAAAAGGAGAACGTTCTGGATTAGATTTTGGTATTCCTATGATCTGGATGGAGCTTAAGAATCATGTCGATGATTGTTACTTTTGCGTAGTAGATGCTAAAGGTTTTAATCGAAACCAAACGTGGAGATATCCAGACTTACAGTCTACAAAATTTCCTGTTTTACACAGTGAAACTCTCCCTCGGCCTGTTTACGTTTCAAAAGTGATTCGCATGCCCTCATAAACAATGATGTTGCCGAATTCACAGAAATCGAAACATTCTACCAGTGGAAGTGAATGGGAGGGTGAAACATCTACGGCAAAGTTATTTTCTCAAAATGAGCTCAGTGATTTGATACGGGATCTAAATTTATCAAAACAGGAATCAGAACTGTTAGCGTCAAGATTGAAAGAAAAAAATTTATTTGCACCAACAGTAACAATTACAACATACAGAACGCGAGAAAGTTAGCTATTACAATTTTTTGATGAAAATGAAGGACTGGTATATTGTACTGATATTGCGAAGCTGCTTTTAGACATGGGCTTGGAAGAATACAAACCTACTGAGTGGCGTCTTTTTTATTGACAGCTGTAAAAGAAGTTTAAAATGCGTCTTACTGCACAATTGAAATAAATTTGCATCAATTCCAATTGCCCATTCAACAAAACTCAAAGAAGGATATGAAAATGTAAAATTAGTTTTAGAAAAAATTAAATACTCGGAGCATCAATGGCCGATCTGTGTGGATTTGAAAATGGTTAATTTTTTACTTGGTCAACAAAGTGGATACACGTAATACCCTTGCTTCCTTTGTATGTGGGACAGTAGAGCAAAGCAACTTCATTGGGAACAAGATGTTTGGCCTGCAAGAAATTCTCTAACTGTCGGTAAAGCCAATGTCATAAGGGAACCGTTGGTGAACAGAGACAAAATCATACTTTCACCATTACATATTAAGTTAGGAATGGAAAAGCAATTCGTTAAAGATTTGGACAAGGAAGGGGATTTTTTTAAATACATTTGTCGAAAATTTCCGAAGCTTAGTATGGAAAAGTTGAAAGGTGGAATATTTGATGGTCCTCAAATACGGCAATTGATATAAGACGCAGATTTTATTAAAGTTATGACTGTTCCGGATAGTGAAGCTTGGGAAAGTTTTGTGTTGGTAGTTGAAAATTTCCTAGGTAACCATAAAGCACTAAATTATGAAGAAATTGTACAAAATATGCTGACAAACTTTCAGACTCTAGGAGCAAATATGAGTATCAATTTACACTATCTCCGCAATCATTTGGATAAATTTCTAGATAATTTAGGAAATTATAGTGAGGAACAAGAAAGCGGTTCCACTAGGATCTGAAAGTAATGGAAGAAAGATATCAGGGTCGATAAAAGAGATTGTCCCCGGAAAAATTATAAAAGAAAAGCTCTTAAAAGGCGTTTTATGATAATATAACATGTTTTCCAAATTTTCCTCTCTATTTACTTCGATATATCATATTTTTATCCAAATAAAACTGACATTATAAATATATCTGTTATTTTGTTTCTCGTTTTCCGATTTTTGTAATGTAAAATAAAAATAAGTATTTAAAAAAAAACGAAAGCAAATCTTACAAAATCATTCATAATTTCATGAATTGTGAGTATAAATATATCCAAAATCAATCTTATATCTAGGGCAACAAAACCACTGTAGACCAGTGTAATTGTTTAAATTTTTAATTTCATTTGTTTATCAGTTTTTTTTTATTTATTCTAATTATTACACGGTTAAGTGTGCATTTTTTGGATTTTATTGTCCTTATTTTTTTACCTAACGCCAATAATTTATGTTGTTCTTGCTGTTTTCTTATAATTTTGGAATTTTCAATTTATTACTTAACGATTGTCAAAGCAAAAACTCAAAATTTTTGCCAATAGTCCAGCCTGAAAGGTATTTACGGAATTGAATGAACTTTTTACAATTGTTCAATCAGATCTGCGAAAAGAAAATGAAAATACTTACTTGTGTTTGTCGTTTATGATAACAATTCTGTATTCAATTGTTTAAATTTTGAAAAATATGCATAGAACAGGATATATTTCCACGTACCTTTGAGTTTTTGCTTTGACAATCGTTAAGTAATAAATTAAGAATTCCAATAATAAACTTAATAAAATTAATTAACATTTCTAATTAATTACTCTTAGTAACTAAAAATGCTTAGGCTAATAAATTTGGAGAAAAAAATTTTTTCTAACTTATTTTTATTCATAATTGGAAAAATAACCGAGCAAAATTTATAAGCTCCCTCGCGACCTTAGACTCATTCTGGAAACACTCTGGAAACAGAGTGGAAATGGTTTCATTCTGTAACCATGCTGATTCCAGAGTGTTTCCAGAGTGTGTTTGTTACATTTGTCCATTATGTATCCAGAACATAACCAAAGTGGATACATTCGGTAACCAAAATGTGTCCATAATGGATATGTGTTGAAACCATAGTGAATACATTCTGAAACCAGAGTGTTTCCAGAGTAAATACATATTGAAACCATAGTGCATTCATAGTCATTACATATTGAAAATATAGTAAATCCATAGTAAATACAGGTTGGAAAGAGAGTGGTGTCAAAATGAGTACATGTTGGGAACAAAGTGCTTCCAGAGTAAATACATGCTGAAAATGGAGTGGTGTCAAAATGAGTACATGTTGGGAACAGAGTATTTCCAGAGTCAATACATGCTGGAAATTGAGTATTTTCAAAGTGAATACATACTGTAACCAATATGTTTTTGAATGAAGGCAAATTAAAAAAAAAAATTAAAACCCCATGGTTAATTAGAATTTTACGGTAATTAGTATTTAATAACATTTACCAGTAAAGTTTAAGGAAATCTATGTTAGTAATTTAAAGCCAACTTAGATAAAAGAAATGGCAGCAAATACTTCAAATTTCATCTCCCGAATGGCTATTATGGAATACAAAATAAATAATCATAAATAAAAATACATTTTTTTTTTTTATTGGAGTTGCGGGCAGTCAAATTAAATGAGTATATTTTAAATTACTTCGTAATGTTATCCACAGAAAGAGCAATATTTTAAATAAGAACTGAAAATGGTACCAGACAATTTTGGAATGGACCAAGATTGAAATTGGACATATTTATTTAATTAGAAATATTCTTATAAAATTTTTATCGGTCTGTCTGCTACTGTACATCGTTTCCGGCTCTTTAGCACATATCAAACAAGATAACAATAAAAAATTTGTAGTAAGTGTTCAAGAATGCTGAAGAAACAATTTCACCTGTCAAATTATTAAATAAACAACTTTATTAAAATTCTATTTTTAACGATTATTGATTTATTTCTATAAATTCACGCCAATCGGCCCCATACAATAAATTATATAAACATATAAAAGACTGTTGATAGCATCAAGTGAAACAAACAATCAAATGACCACAGCCACCTGTACACATTCAGCTAAAATTATAACTTATTAATTACAAACATAACTCATCTATTATATTTAACTAATCCGTTTCCCAGCAATTTGTTTGTTTAATAACATATAATTGATTCGATGTAGCGATCTGAATTGCTGGCTTTATAAATTGGGATTCTTCGATAAACATTAGGTCATTTAATGTAGTAGTAACTTCGTGAATATGCTTAGTTCCTAATATACAATTGACTTGCTGCATTCGTAGAATGAAAATACCGCGTATTGTTTGATTACGGTGACAAAATTTAACAATTGAAGTGATTGTTCCGAATACATTATTACCATCAAAAATAATACTGTTGTCGAATTTGCAATTTTTGTTATTTTGACACTCGTATTTGATCCCATTTAATGTCATTTTCTCAAAACATTCCAAGTTCATAGGTTCATACCCAAATTTTATCAAAGCAACACGTTCACTATCTGTTGGTAAACGCGTTATACGTTTTCCTACACCTTTCAATCGATCTTTGGTGTCAACATTATTACTTTCTAACGAAACTTTAACTTGTTTGGCTATCAATTTTTTGGTCTCAGTTGATACTGCATCATCGTATAAAGACATAATAATAAATTTTCGCATGGTAAAGCGCATTGCGATTTGATTAACTCGAGCATGAGAACTGCTGATAAAATCCATGATTTTCTTATTCCATGACTCAAACACAAATGCTTCATGAGCCCATATTGGACCCCAATTTTTCACAACTGATACCAAGTGTGTCATTAAATGGATATTAGAAGACATATTTGTTTCACCATAATACTTTTGAAAAAGCGATACAAATTTCTTCAATAGAATATCAGATCGCTCTAAATTAGTTGGCGTTAAGCAATCGCTGTTCAAATGATGAATTGCTTCCGATAAGAGTGCTAGATGGGTTACATATTTTTTTGGCAATACATCAAGTAAGCAAACTGGAGCATAGTCAAGCCAATTCCGCCATTCTGATGCTTTCCAGTTGGGATAAGTTGATATGGACCGTGGTTTTCGCGAGCGACATGATGGTGGTTTAATGGACAGTAAGGATTGATCTATTAAGTTCATATTTTTAGGTGCCCCAATATAATAAGGTGCTTTTGTTCCTGTTAAAAGTAACTTTGTAAGTTGCTTAACAACTCCGAGAAAAACAGCATGCATTGCTTCGACAACAACACCTTTACTTATGTTGAATAATGGTAGAGCTACTAATGCTGAAATATTTTTTATTCCGTGCGTAACAATACCGGTAGCAAAAGCCCGTATCATTACGTATCTCTGCATCACATCGTTCTTTCTGATAACATTGAGATAATGGATAAATTCGTTTGCCACGTCCCACGGTTTTGCCTTTTGCATAGCAATATAAACAACCATATTTTCCGTTAAATTGCTTAATGCAAGCCACTGCTGCGCGGGCCGGTGCGTCTAAGCTACATGTGGTAACGATAAATCTTGATGTTACTTCTGAATGACCGTTAGGTTTCCATGTAATACCAGTACTAAATAAATTTCGTATTTCTATGGTAAAAGGTCTTAATAAATGATTCATTATTGGATGTTTTTCGTCCACGAATATTGCCGCAAGAAGCATATGTTTCTTTCGCATATGTGGAGGTAGCTCGTTGATCTCAACATAAATCGGCCATGCACTTGATTTAGAAGACTTTGCCACATTGCATCCATCGGTATTCATAGTTAATGAGAAATTATACCATGTTGCCAAAAATTTGCCACGTTTGCATAGTGATTTGTATTCTTCGCCATCATAAATATCTTCGTAACCCTCCGGATCTCTCTTTGTTCGGTTAAATCTATATTTTAACGACTCACTGATGTTGGGTATAGACAGTAGTTCCAGAATTTGTGTTGATAAGCTCACGTATATGAAGTAACTTAAATTATATTCGAACTTATCATCAGGGCCACACGCTTTACATTCACACTGTCTAGACAATTGCTTGGATATTTCGCATTTTACGCCTAAATAGTCCTGACATAACTTGCAATAATAATGATATGTCAGACTACCCGAGAAAAAATATTTATATATAATTATATATATTTATATATAAATTGGTTATATATGATTATATATGAAAATGGCCAAATATAATCATATATAATTATATATAACAATGTTTAATTATATATTTATCACATCTAATTAATTATTGGGTTAATTTTATGGATAGAGTATTTAATATGGTCCTACGCAATTCTGTATAACTGATCAAAATGCAAAAAAAATATCTAGATCTAATTTTATGGCTATAACACCAGCGGTCACCCATCCAACTACTAACCCTACTCAATGCGGCTCAACTTTGGTGATCTCCGTGCGTCTTGAAGTTTCTGTCTGCTGTGCTGCTATCTTAGACAATAATGATTCTATAATCTACTTAATGTATCATATGAGTTTATCATAAATATAATAAAAAAATTGATTTTATAATATATTTGAATAGTCATAGTTCATAATTAATTTATTTTAATAAACTATTCATAAAATAAATAATGATTTTACTATTACGTAGGGGCAGAGCAGACAAAACATCTCATAGAAAATGTGACAAATTTTGTATTTCAGAATTATGTAAACGTAATTATAAACATCATTTTACACTTTTTGTGATTTTTTGTTGAAATATCAAAATTATTCTATTAAAATAACAAAGAGGATTTGTTGGAGTAACAAAGACAATTTGTTGAAGTAATAGAGAGAATTTGTAATAATAACAATGACAATTTGTTGCAATAACAAATAAATTTGTTACAGTAAATTTTATAAGAATACATTTAAAAATACGCTATAATCAGCTATATAGCTGATTTGGAGAATATTTTGGCAACAAATTAGTTTTGTTATTGCCACAAAAATCACTTTGTAACAGCAACAAAAT